GGGCAGGGTGGGGGCGGGGCCGGGGCCGGGGACGGTGTTCTCCCCGTTTGCGTGGGCGGGGACCCTCCCTCCTCCAGGCTTCTTGGGAGAGGTTTAACCGTGTGAGGGCCGGAATTCTCCCGCCTGTCGCGACTCCTCTGCTGGGCCGGCGCCCGCGCCACGCCTCGGGTCGGTCACGACGCTTGTGGAAAATCCTCCATGACGGGGATGGGGAGGCAGGTGACCCTGGGTAGGGGCCCTTCTGCAACCGCTTCTGTCCGCGTCCAGGCCGCCTGACCTGCATCTCGTCCTAAGGCTTACCTGAGACAACTGAGATCTGCCCTCGGTTAGAAAGAAGAGATTTGTTTTATTCTAGTTTCTGTGGCACTGGCCCCTGAACAGTTGTGACTATTCCAGTTTTTCTAGGGTCCTTCATCAGACCCACATTTCAGCTGGGCTTTGAGGATCTGCTGACTTGTAAAAATACCAGGAAAAAGGCTCTCATTGAAAATTCCTCCGCATTCACACTGGGGAAAATATAAATGGGCATGGCTTAGAGACCCACTCTAATTTGAATGTATCATCAGGAATGCACTATGCATGGTTGCTTTGATTTTGTTAGATGCTCTCCTTACCTGTAGTGGTGAACACGCGTTTATTTTCTTTTGAAACTTCCTGTGACACCTTGTGCTTTGCCATGCCCTTGAAATACACTTCATAAATGTTAACTTGCTGATAATTGATTGAGAGGAAAAGAACATAACAGGCACTTTACTCTCAACAACTCAGTGAAGTGTATATTACTACAGTATATCAGTTTTGAAAATGAAGTAGTAGTGGCACAAAGGGTTAATTATATTTCTCAAGATGCTGCACACAGTACTGGACCTCAGAACTGACTCACTGCACAACCCATGCTCTTCCCAATATACCTTACTTACCCCAGGAAAAAATAAATGGGCAGACAATAATCCCTGTCATTTGATGAGCAGTTACTATGTACCAGGCACTATGCTAAGTGCTTTTCATGCGTTATCTTAACCCTACATAACAATCCCATGAGATAGGTACCATTTTTAACTCTATTTTACAGATGAGGAAACTGATTATTCCAAGATCATTCAGTTAGAAAGTGAGCCAGAGCTCAAATCCAGGACTGCCTACTATAGGCAGAGATTTTAAATAAATAACTGGAGAAAATTTAAAAGATATTTGGAAATAGGAACAACACAAGTATATATATTTTTTTTTAATTTTTGGAATTCAGTGTTCTGAGATTGCATTTGAATGGTTAAAAGTATTGTGTAAATTATGGTTACTCATGGGAGGTTTCCTGAAGGAAGTAGATTTTGAGCTAGTATGGTTTTTGTTTGTTTTTATTTTAGAATCTGTTTTAATAATAAGATGATATTATATGTGATCATATGATCCCTGACATAATGGGACCAGCAGACCGGTTAAAGAAACAAGCCATGGAATTCATTTTGAAAATGGAAGAAATCCTTCTTCCACTTTCTTAATGTCGCCACCTAAGCAAAGCACACCTTTCCCAGAATATACTGTAAGTAGCAAGTTGGTCAGAGCTAAAAATCACCCCCAGTTTCCAAAAGCAACATTTAATCATGGCCGAGTTAGTATCAGGAGGCTCTTGAGTCATTTTATCAGAATCAACCCCAGATGGGATAAGCATTACTCTAAAAGTCAGTTCTGCAGTTCCAGGCACTCTAATGGTACATAATAACCAAACCAGTTTTTCAAGTCCTAGCTCTCTTTTTAGTTACATTATAGCTTCTTGTTGAAGAGGTCGAAGGCTTGGCTGCATGGGCACTCATGTGTAAATCAAAAGTGAAGGTATTCTTCCAAATTTCTGAAGAAGCACTCCCCACCCAAAATAAATAAATAAACTCCAGGTTTTTTAAACGTGCAGATTTCATCCAGGTATTTTGCATCTGTTTATAGTGGAAAGAGCCAGAAAATCTTGGACACCAATGAGACAGGCTAGATCTCAGTTTGCATATACGTGAAATGTAGAAGTGTCCGATGGTCTCCACTAGCCTTTCCAGTTCTAATATTCTATGCCTATGGTTTTATTCTATGAAATATGGTCTTAGTCCATTAAGTTATATGCATAATTGAAGCTGGAAATCAAGTATAGGGATAGATTTGCGATCAATTTCTATTCTGTTTTTAATTACAAAAATAAATATTTTTCTTATTGAAATTTTTGTCAAAATATATCTTTGCTATTCTCAATGGACAGTATTAATAATACTTATAAATGCACATTATATACCAGGAATGATACCAGCTTCTTTTTTTCTCATTTCATATATATATCATTGTATATATATTATATTATACCTTATTGTATTTTATACTCACACACACATGCAAACACACCAGTTAGAATTAAATGAGACAAAGAATCTAGTATCATTCCTGGTACATAATAACATAATATGCATCATTTTACATACACATGATGCATATTATATATATTTACATATATATACATATGTATATAACCATATATCTGCCCTATGAGGTAGATGTTATAATTCCTGCAGAACTTCTGATCTCTTTTTCCAAATTCTGATATACACAGATCTAATTGTGTATACTTTTTGGCAAGTTGAGAATTATTACTTCAATATACACATATTGCAAGTCACTCCTCTTGAGGTTGATTAATAAGAGACTAGCGGTTGAGGCTAGAAAAGGGGGAAGTAAAGCAAAAGAAAAAGTGAGTATAGAAGTGTTTGCACACATGCAGAAAAAGCCTTTGGAAACATAAATTGCAGGAACATGAATCCAGATCCATCTTAGAGCTATATACCAAGGTCTATTTGCAGTGAGGAAGAGGAAAAGATGTTTTATAGTATCAATTTATCAACTGAGCTAATATAGGATAACCCTGTAATTTAGGGAATGGGTTTGGAAAATATCTACTTTCTGCATCTCAAACTCTGCAGTTAGTCTGCATAACGGGCTATGATAGGCTGTATGAAACAAGTCAACAGCTTAAGGTTACAGAATATGAAAATACTGGACATATAAATAGAAGACCAAGTTCTTGCTTTCTGCATTCCATTGAAGTTTGTCTCCTTATGCCTACCTGTCACAAACTCTGCCCTTCATCATCTTCCTGAGGAAACCCAGACACCAAGCATATCATGACGCTTGCAGTCCTTCTGAATCTATGGCCATGAGTGTTGAAGGCCATGGAACGTCAACCACCCATCCTCTCTAACTAACTGAGAATAGACACAAGGAACCAAATGAGCATCTCATTAGGGTATCATCTTTATTACTGGATCAGGTAATATCCCACTAAGTGCAGAGATCCCTACTAAAACTAAGTGGACAATGAGACTAGGACCTCCCTCTCTCTGCACTCTGAGACCTACCCGTGGAGAAAATTAGATCTGCAAATATGACTTTATATACCCAGCCAGACCAAAAAAAAAAAAAAAAAAAAAAAACAAAAAAAAAAAAAAAAAAAAAAAAAAAAAAAAAAAAAAAAAAAAAAAAAAAAAAAAAAAAAAAAAAAAAAAAA